GGGATCATCTGCCCTGGATTCCCTGTGTTTCCAGTTCCTATCTGTACCAGTGTACATCCTCTGGTCTAGCCAGATTTGTAAGGTAGAATTGGGATCACGATAGTGGGGAGGGAGGAAGCATTTAGGAACTAGAGGAAAGTTGTATGTTTCATCATTGTACATCGCACCCTGACTGGCTCATCTCCTCCCTGAGACCCTTCTGTAAGGGAATGTCCAGTGGCCTACAAATGAGTTTTGTGTCTCCACTCCACACTGCCCCCCTCATTCATAATGATATGATATTTTGTTCTGATGATGCCTGATACATGATCCCTTTGACACCTCCTGATTGCACAGGATGATGTGCTTCTTCCATGTGGACTTTGTTGCTTCTGAGCTAGATGGCCGCTTGTTTGCCTTCAAGCCTTTAAGACCCCAGACGCTACATCTTTTGATAGCAAGGCACCATCAGCTGTCTTCGTCACATTTGCTTATGCACCCCTTTGTCTTCAGCAATCGTATCAGGGAGGTGGGAGGTGAGCACACAATGATATGATTTTTTGCTCTGAAGGCACCCACTTCTAAACCCTCCGTCCTCCTCAGGGCCTGGAGGAAGAAACCCAGGTTGCTTGTTAGAGCAATGCCTGCCAGGTGTGTCTAAGCAGACCTGTGCACCGTGGCCATTTCCATGGCTGATTATATATTAGTTTAATTAGCCTTTGAGTTTTTAAAAATCATTTTAATGGGGCCTCGTACAGCTCTTAACACCATCCATCCATCCATCACTGTTTCAAGCACATTTGCACATAGGTTGCCGTCATCATTTTCAAAACATTTTCTTTCTGCTCGAGCCCTTGATCTCAGCTCCTCATTTCCATGGCTGATCTTTTAGAAGTGGATCTCCAGGCCTCTCTTTGGAGGCCCTTCTGGGCGCACCCAACCCGCCACCCATGAGGTGAATAGCCCGGTGCCTTAACCATTTGCACCCTCCAGGAGCTGTCTCCATGATGGGGCTCCTGGATTTCTTCCGGATTCATCCCCATAACCCACCACTTCTCAACCACAACTTTCTCTTCCCATCACACTGCTGCTGCCCCCTTGGCTGGACAATCCTGACGAGCCATGTCCCAGGAGATGACCCTCCGCCCGGTCCCCCAGGGCCAGCTTGGGCCCTTCTTCTCTGGGAATCTGTGCTGACCATACGCAAACCTTCTCGAGTGCCTCCCTTCAAGTTCACACAGCTGTTACCCATGTGAACCTCTCCCAGACCAGCACCTATGGCACAGACGAGGGGTCTCCAGTGGCAAACAGTAGGAGACCACACGGGAGAACCAACAAGGCCACCGGATTGGGGCGTCTTGAATAGCTCATAGAGTGGACAGGAGGCTACAAAGCCAGGCTTGGCTCTGCAGGTAGGGCCCAGGGCATTTGGGGGCATTGAGGGCTCTAGGAATTCTCATCACGCTGATCAGGTTTCATAGGGCCCTGCCTTCGATCCTTACCGGTTGTGAGTCCTCCCATCAGTCCTGACTGGCTGAGCCTGGGTGAAGCCCCACCTCTTGGCAGGGGCTGGGAAGGCACCTGGGCAGACCACCTCTCCAAGTTTCCACCCTCAGGAGATGCTCAGCTGCAGTGAGACTCCTTTTCAATCTTAGAGGGACCCGTAGAGGTGTCACGACCGGGCTGTGTCCTGAAGGCTGAGCAGGGCCTTGCCCAGGGGGCATGTGGCAAAGGAGCCCCAGCCCGAGGGGCAGCAGGTTCGGTCCGGAACCATTCACCTAGTCGGTCACTCGTAGATTCACTGATGGATTTGTTTCAGTCATTGATCAAACATGTTGTCAGCTGCCAGCATGTTGGCTCTGAGTCATGGGGGTCTTACCCAAAACAAACTCACTGCCATCGAGTCAAAGCTGACTCGCAGCGAGCGACCCCCTGTGAGTTTCCAAGACCACTCCAGCCTTTCTCCCGCAGTGGCCGGTGGGGATCTCAGGGACAACCAAACAATATGTCACCGGCTCTGGTGTCATCTCAGGGTTGTTGGTGTGTGTTGGTGTCAGTCCACCCCACGGAGTCCACTTCGCATTCACCAGGCCTCTGCTTTAGGCCGCACGGACCTTTCCCTGGTTCTGCGTCCCCAGTAAGTGAGCATGCGTCTCGCCTTTCTCTCGTCTAAGGATCCTGCTGCCTGCCTGTCCTTGAAGGCCGCGGTGTTTGTGCTTCCGTCCAGCGACAGTCTGTTCTACGTGTTTGGCCCCTACCACCCCCCTGCCACACGGGCCCTGCGTTCTCTCCTAGAGGGGGGTCCTGGATCAAGAGACTGGGGCACGTCTGTGGCGGCCTCTGAGCCCCCCTCCTCCCCGCCCCTGGGTCTTCCAGCTCCTGTGCTCAGCCACAGGCAAGGGGTCCTACCTCCTCTCCTGACCAGTGTCCTGTGTAAGGGGCCTCATTCTCTGCTCCATGC